GTTGTGTTTTGACAAATTAACTGTTAGAAATTCTGGGGGAGTTAATCGCTACTACTTTGATCTAAAAATTAACTTCCTTGGGCCAAAAAAGTGCAAATGTATTACTGACACTCTTTAATAACTCATGGAAAGATAATTTGTGTTTTTTTTTTAAGGATTGCCTATTAATGTGCTCGGTTCTTTATGACTCTTCCCTTGCACACTCAAAGAATAGCAAGTGAAAAGGAATTTCCAGCCCGCTTCAAATATGCAAAGAGAGTATGGCTATTTACTTAGGGTATTTTAAAAGCATTTGGGTATACTTTACATAATTGACTGATTCATGGGAGATCAACAGCTACCAGGCATAATGACTAAAGGAAATCTCCACATTTAGAGGCAGTAAACCCCTGAATACCAGTAGCAGGAAGCAACATCAGGGGAAGGCCTCAGACATTATGCCCTGCTTCTCTAATTGGTTGGCCACTCTGTGTGAGACAGGATGCTGGACTAGATGGACCACTGGTCTGACCCAGCAGGACTCTTCTTTTGCTCTTATGGGACTTGCATTTGTAGAATCAGTGGAAGCAGGGGTCATTTCGTAGAAAAAGAGCTGCAGGAGCTCATTAGCGTAACTTATTAGCATATGCCACACCCCCTGACATCACCGGAAGTGTGTACCAGCCCCTCTGACAGGCAGAAGCACCGGGGATCCATTCTTTCCCCCCTCTCCCTTCCCTTCGCCTCCAAGTCCGGCGAAGGAAAAGGGGAGGATCTCAGGCACTTCTGCCTGACAGAGGTGCTGGCGTGCCCACAGCCAGCCTGGGTGAATTATAGAATCATAGACTCATAGAGTGGGAAGGGACCTCCAGGGTCATCTAGTCCAACCCCCTGCACAATGCAGGAAATTCACCAGTACCCCCCCACACACTCCAGTGACCCCTGTTCCACGCCCAGAATATGATAAAAAAAAAACCTCCAGTATCACTGGGGGCCAAAGTGGCCTGGAGAAAAATTGCTTCCTGGCTCCAAAGTGGCAATCAGCATTTCCCTGGGCATGTAAGAAAGGGCCACAAGAACTAAGCACTGATGCAACCCTTCCTGCTCTACCTCTCGTGATTTGCCTAAGTTCACACAATCAGCATTATGATCCTTTTAAAGTTGAAAGCATGATATAAATGCAAAGGACTATTTGTAAGATTATCTGTAAGACACAAGACCAGGACGCATCTCACTTCTGGCAATCACTTGGAGAGACCCTATCACTCAGCTTCCATTGCCCCCCCCCCCAAACACACACAGTGGAATAAGAGCATAATATCAGGCCATAGCACGTTGCAATAAAGCCCCTACAACTGTATACAGAAATACTGAGCTTCCCTACCATTTGCCACAACTAGCCCACCACACAACCAGGATCAAGACTCCTAAGTGGACCAACAGACAGGCATACACTCATTTGAGAAACTAAGTATTACATTGCAACACCTCTGGAACATTACAGATCAGTAGAGGCAGCACTGCACAGTGGTCAGAGTTGCAGATTGATGTGGGGAGACCCAGGTTTGTATTCTCACTCTGCTGGCTGAGTGACCCCGGGCCAAATCTCCCCTTCTCTACCTAACCTACCCCACAGGGTTGTTGTGACAGGAGGCAAGAAGCCTGGGCGAGTTGGGTTCCTCCATGCCTGGCTGAAGAAGAGGTGCAGAGGCGAGAAGTGGGCAAGCTGCACAAGCCGCGTGCAAAGAAACTCCCGCCGCCCCAAGCTTCAGGGCTGCCTCGTTAAAGGAGTGCGGAACCAGACTCGCAAATGAGAAAAAGCAAGCTCAGGGTT